CTGCCCTTGTGAAAAGTCCCTCTCCAGCTTTTTGGAGTCACCCAGGGATGGGCTGTGCCAACACCAGTCCCAGGTCACAGGGACTCTTTGGGGCATGTGGATGCTCCACAGTGCTACAAGAAGAGGTTGGGAGCCTTGGCTGGGAGGCAGTGGGTGGTGGCCACCCTGTCAGCCTGACTGGTCCGTGTGGGGATGCTCAGCAAAGCCAGAGCTTGGGATTAAACGTGGGAGAGACGGGAATTGGAATGGACAATACAACATAACCTTCCTTGGCCGTGGTCACGTGCACTTTGCCTATGAAATGAAAACGAGAACATTTCTCTGCAGCCCTGAATCCCACACTCATTTCACTCTTGTGAGCAGCTCAGTGACTGCAGGCACAGCCCAGACAGGAAAACAGGGATTCCGGATCCAGAGTCGTCAGTGTGAGGATTTGCCTGCGAGGAAACAGCTTCGGTGGCCTTGGAATAGAGAAGGGATCCCTCTGCCTTCCAGAAAAGGACTGAAGCTGCTGTGCAGGGAGCTAAAAAGGCAAATGCAAACCTTGATTATGTGGAGCTTTGGTAGGAGGTTGCAATCGGCTAAAGTGAGCTCATCTCCATCCAGGAATTTCCGGCTGGAAACGGTGATCTCCTCCGTGCTGTAAGCATCGATTTCGTCAGGCAGGGGGCTGTTTAAATAGTTGTCCAGCTTCCTCAGGGCTTTCAGCAGAGACTTTTCCAAATCTGGGTAAAGACAATCAGAAGATCAGTCGAGCCCGTACCAAGGTCTCGCTGACACGGAGCAGAAAGGCGCCTCCTGCATCCTGTCTCCTGGCACCCACCCAGCTCGCGGGCAGCTGGCCCTGCCAACGCCTGCAATTCCTTTATCCCGAGCTTAACACTTAATGCTGGGATAAGAGCTCTAAAGAGCTCAGGGGGGAGATCTGAGAAAAACCAGCGCGGGGCTGAGTTACCAGGAATGGCTCCTCCAGCCCCGCCGTGGAGCGGGATTTGGCTCTGCCTTCGCACCGGCTCCTGCCTCGGGAGCCACGGGGCCAGTGCTGGCCCGTGGGAAGGACAAGAAGCCACCAGGATGCCACTTTGGGGTGTTCAAAACCAGCCCAGGGAACAGGCCTGAGAGCTGGAGTGCAGAGAGAGAGAATCCCAGAATGGTTCGGGTTGGAAAGGTCCTTAAAAGTTCATCCCATTCCAACCCCGTGCCATGGGCAGGGACACCTTCCGCTAGACCTGGTTGCTCCAAACCTGGCCTTGAACACTTCCAGGGATGGGGAGACAACAACCAACCTGTGCCAGGGCCTCACACCCCTCCCAGGGAAGAATTTCTCCCTAATATCCAATGTAACCCTGCCCTCCTTCAGCTTAAGGCCACGTGTGGTGGTCGTGAGGGTCCTGCTTTAGAGACCTGGGGCTGGAATCCTCATTTTTAATGGAAATGGTTCCAGGGGGCTGTGCTTTTGGCAAAGCTGTGGGGCAGCTCCAGCATTACCTGGGAGCTGAAGGAATGAGGAGAGGTTGGAATTGGTGCTCCCATGGTTACAGCTCTATCTGCTTTAACCAACCTTGGGAATCCTCAGTTAAGGCACAGATTTCCACAGCCTCTGGAAAATCACTGAGCTGGAAGTGGGACACCTCCAGCACAGTGTCCTGGAATTGCACAGCTCTGGTTCCCCTCTCCCACCACAGCACTTACTTTCATTTGCATCTTTCCTCGGGTTCTTTATAAACGCAGAGAACTTGGCAAACACGTCATTTCCCGCAGAGTTGGACTCGGGGTGCTTGGGGGCAAGTTTGGGATACCTGAGGGGTTAAAACAGACAAAGTTGGATAATTAGCCTTTGCTTTCAGCTCCACTAATTAACACCCGTTTATTTACACTCCGGGGTGACCCCGCAGCACTCAAAGGGAACCACCCTTAACTAAAAATCCCTTGTTTTAAGCCCTGGGGGAAAAGGAGTGTGGGCAGGGACACAGAGCTGCTGGTGGAGGGGCAGCAGGGTTTGGGAAGAGCTGCTGGGGTGGGGAAGGACAAATCAAAACCTCAAAGACTCTCCTGTGCAGCAAGATGGGCCCACCTGGACACTTGAAATGTGTCCGGCGTGCAGGAGGCATTGGCTGCCCTTTGCTTCAGAGAATCCCAGAACCATCAAGGCTGGGAGAGACCTCCAGGATCATCCAGTCCCACCCCAGCACCACCAGGATCACCCCTAATCCATGTCCCCAAGGGCCACATCCAGGCACCTCTGGGACACTCCCAGACACAGGGACTCCACCACCTCCCTGGGACACTTATTCCAAGGCCTGACCACTCCTGCAGGGAAAAATTGTTTCTAATCTCTGATCTGACCCTGCCCTGGGGCAATTTAAGGCCGTTTCCTCTTGTCCTGTCCCTTGGGACACCCCAGGGACACCCCTGGCTTCGGGACTGTTCCACACCAGCCGAAGTTGCCCCTCTCCCTGTCACCCAAACCAGCCCCTTCGAGCCTCCCACACACACACGTGCAGCTCTCTGAGGGCCTGACCCCCCAGAACTGAGGGGGTTTGGTCACAGACCCCCGTGGAGGGCCCTGAGGGGACGGGGGACACGGTACCGGGGTGGCACCAGCTTCTCTTCCAAGAATTCCTCGATCTTGTTGACGTCGGTTTTCACTTCGCCGTCGAAGGTCATGAAGGGGGGGTTGGTGCCCGGGGCCAGGTTCTGCAGGTCTGCAGGTTTTCTGGGAGGGGGAAGAGAAGGGGTTAATCCCACCAGGAACCACAGCTGCAATTTCTACACTGAAATGCCACGAACTAACATTAAAATCAAAGAATCACAGAATGGTTTGGGCTGGAAAGGACCTGAAAGATCATCCAGTTCCACCCCCTACCATGGGCAGGGACCCATCCAACCTGGCCTTGGACACTTCCAGGGATCCAGGGGCAGCCACAGCTTCTCTGGGCAACCTGTGCCAGAGCCTCACCACCCTCACAGCCAGGAATTGCTTCCCAATATCCCATCTAACCCTGCCCTCCTTCAGCTCAAGACCATTCCCCTTTGTCTCTGCCCATATAAAAAGTCCCTCTTTTTATAACCCCCTTTAAGGACTGGAAAGACCTCTAAGGTCTCCCCAGAGCCTTCCCTTCCACAAGCTGAACACCCCCAGCATTCCCAGCCCGGCAGAAAAGAGTGCCCCTTTAAAAATCCCCATTTTTTCAGAAGAATTTTGGTGAAAAGTTCAAATCCCAGAAGTTTGATCCGAGAGCCACGACCTCACCTTTTCAAATCCACGGTGGTGACGTTGAATATGACCCCCTTCAGCCACAGGATCATGAAGAGGCGCTGCGAGAAGGGGCAGTTTCCAATGCTTTCCCCATCACTGCCAGCCTGCAGTTGGAAAAATAAAGAGTTCTGTATGTGACGATAACAAATTTTGATGGCAGGGAAGCAGAAAACCCGGATCTGTGAGTGCGTAGCATGTTACTTGTCTCTACTAATAGGTAATTTCGTGCAAAACGTCTTTCTGTCCTTCTCCAGACATGCACAGAGAGATGATGAGGAGCCCTGTCCTCTGGGAGATCTTGTTTTCCATTCAAATGCATGATGGACGTGCCACAAGTTGGGAAACAAAAGGGAAATCACAGCAGCCCTCCCAGAGGAAATACCCCCCCACCTGGTTTGTGTGCGGGAACATAAAACCACCCACGTCACTGCGAGGAATTAAATCAGTTTATGGTCACGGGAAACAAAGACTTACCGGCCTAAATGGAGGTGGAATGTCTAAAGCACTGAAACAGAATAAATTCGTTAAGAACTTCAGACTAAAGGACCATGGGAGCCCTGAAGAAGGAGGGAAGGAAGAGGAGAAACTCTGTGTGGCCACAGAGGTGTTGCCCTCGTGCATTTTGTGTTGGATTTTGTTGAAGGGTTTGTTTAAAGGGTTTGTTAAATTGAGGCAAAGTCTTGCAGAGTTGCTGCTGCCTGAGTGAGGCTTCACTTGTTGGAAGAGATCAGGGTCTAATTTTTAAGCCTGTGATTCCCCTAAAGCCCAGCTTTAAAATTTAGATTAAATGTAAGGGGTTGAAGTATAAAACCCCCCAAGTGTATCATTTATTCAGTTAATAGGTTAATCCATTAGGGTTTGCTGCCCTCATAAGCCAAGAAGGCACACGAATGAAACCAGCTCTGCCTGTCATTTCACCTCCCTCAGTGCTGTCAGAGGAACCTCAAATATCCCAAAAACTCCTCAGTGAACAAACTTTGAGCTGTACAGGGCTCACCTTCACGAAGAGCTCGATGGCTGGAAACAAGTACCTGTGCTGGAGCAGGAAAGAGCTCGAGGGATGCATGGAAGGGGCTTCCTAAACCTTCTGGTTCTCCCTAGAAACCCGGAGGAATCTCCTCGGACAACTCCCTGTGCCTTCTGCCTCTGGCACTGCCACAACCACTGGTTTTCTCGGGAGGGAGAACCAGAATTGGAACTGAAGCATTGCCAGGGGGTGAGAACTTTTAGAAACGCTGGGTTAGAAATAGAGAAGTCTTGTTTCTTGTTAGAATAGTCTTGTTTTGTAGGTGGCAAATGTCAGAGCTGGTGAAAAGCTGCCCTTGTGTTTTAACTCCTACTCGGAGCAGGGCCCTCCTTGCAGGGCTGGGCAGCTCCTACAGCCCCAGAGACACAGAACTGCTGGGTGTTTACACAGAATCCAGGATGGGATGGGTTGGGAGGGACCTTAAATCCCATCCAGTGCCACCCCTGCCATGGGCAGGGACACCTTCCACCAGCCCAGGTTGCTCCAAGCCCCGTCCAACCTGGCCTTGGACACTTCCAGGGATCCAGGGGCAGCCAC